TTACCATATGTTATCGGTCATTCGAAATCAGCTTATAGTGATTGGCTTCAATCAGCTTTAATTCGTGCTGTTTGTTATTGTACATCAGTGGAAGATTTTCAACAAGAACGAACTTATTTGGAATTAACACTTCTTATTAATGGCTATTCATTATTATTTGTTGAAACTCATGTTAAACATTTCTTCAATCATTTTCATGCTCAAACATTACGATTTTCAAGAAGTCAAAGTGCCTATGATAATTTTCGTCAACAATGGTTTACGTTTGTTGAACAACGACAAGAACTTACACAAGAACTTCAAAAATTCGATCAAAATGATCGTTTAATCCAATTCAATTATATTCATGACTTTGGACCACGGTGTAGATTCAATCGAGAATTTTATCAACTTTGGTTTCATTATTTTCAACAACATCCAAAACTATCCCAAGAAAAGTGCAAAATTATTTTACAAGCTAAACATTTTCATTCATTGAATAGTCTATTAACAATAGAACCACCATCACCTCCAGTTCAACAATGACCTTTTTTTTGCCCAACTCTGTTCGTGTACATTTATTGTTTGTCATATTGACACGACAGATAGTAGTTGCTTTTTTTTTGTTTTTGATTTGAATCATACACGATTCTATTGTCATCCCTTTTTTTTTGTGTACAGTTTTGACTTTGAAAAGAAATTACTCATTATTTTGCAATGTAGAAAAACAACCTATGGAAAACCTTAGTTATTTCAAGAAGTATGTCGAATTCATCACTGATATAATCTTTGTCACAATGCTTTTGAAATCTTTTGTTTAGATGAAAAATTCGAATATGAAGCAATCGACCATCCATATGTTTGTCATTTGTGTATTTTTTTTTGTATATTTTTTTTTGTTGAAACATACAGTATGAAATATGGATTGAATAGTGAAAAAATGTAACTGTTTCATTTTATGAAATCTTCTAGAACTTGTTAACAGTACAACCGAATTCAGTCTTTGTTGTGCTTTGTCTCTTCTAGATATTTATCCACAGCATTGAGCTCATATGAATACAATGTCCAACGGTTCACAAGAACAACTTGAATTACGTGCTTCGCAAGGTATCCTACACTTAGCTATCATGTCTGATTGCATTTTCTACTGCTGATCTACTTTAGATACTGGTATGTTCACATGTCAGAACAATGTTCAACAGGCATCATTATTGATTCAAGTAAGCAACCCAACATATTTCAAATGGAATACGGTTTTGATTCACACACTCTCTCTCTCTCTCTCATTCACAGTCACCTGTACGATCACCGAATTCGATCAATTCATCGGCAACCAGTCCCGACAATGAGAATCGATATTTAAGTCAACAGCTTCGAACAACCGATGTGAGAGTCAATTTGGAAGATTGTATGAAATGTTACGTGAGAATTCCACGCTGTTCGGTAAAGGAGTATAAGATTGAAACGAAACCTATTGAATAGAGCATTTCCTTTTTATTTATATATATGGAATGTTAGATCGAACAATCAATATCTGATTCTACTCCCAATATTAGTACCACTATGGCACGTGAAGTACAAGAGCATCGAGAAGAACAAGATGTTGTATCACAAACCGAAGAAAATCAAACCACATCCGAAAAAGTGGACGAAAACAACGAAAACTATGATCCTATTGATTATATAAATGATTTCAATCCAATGAATTCATATATCATTATAGATTTACCATGGCCGACAACTTCAGAATAATACAACAAACGGACGATTTAGGTCACTGCCTATGTAGTTGTACTTATAATCTGATAGTGTTGTACAGATATACAATGTGAAGACTTGTTTTCCTCGTGTTATTATTTTTTTGTTTTTTGTTCATGTATATTTTCATTCTATGTTGAAGTTTCTAGAGCTCTCTTTTCCTTTTCTAGATATACATTCCTATAGCATTCCGTGCAACAACATATTTTCAGTCTATATTAGTTTATAATAAATCACTATTAATAATTCACCCAAGTCAAAAAAAAAAGGTAAATCAATATTCATCAATCAAATTAAAGTATACAAATACATTTCAGAGATATGGATGCTGAATCAGGCTCCACGCCATGGGCTCAACCGGCCTCTTCCAATCATCAAGATACATCTAAGAATTTATCATTTACATTATCGACACATCAATCAATAAGACCCTTAAATCGACCTTATACAATCGGAAGAACAACAGCAGCGATTATTCCATCCTTAGCAATATCAGATGTGGATATGGTTATCTATGAAAAAGCCCACCCATCGCCGTCTAAATGATGGGATGATTGTAGAACTTGAATAACAGAAAATAGTATTCGAATTTTCTATTTCAACAAACTTGTTGTCTTTTGTTTTTCCTTTGTTTTTTTGTGTGGTTGTTGCCTGTGAAACAGTTCATATTTTTGAAAGAATAGCTATATACGTTTTCTCTTTTGTTTTTCTAGAGTTAACCCTATTTTCAGATACTGTTATCAGGGAACCGAAAATAAGATGAATACCTTTTACTTTTTCTTGAGATATCTTTATGTTTTGCTTAGACGAACATATACTCTAACGTTGGACTCATCTTTTTCCTCAGAAAACTAATGTAAATACACAGTTTTTTTTTTCATCAGTTCTTGTGTTCGATATTCACCTTTGCTATCTGTATAGATTCGCTGCTGTGTCACACGCTATATATATTCTAAATCAAATCTTCATCTCTAAACAATATCGAGATTCAAGAGAATCAAAGTTCATTTTGAGTTTGAGAAAGAAAAAAATTAAAGTTTACAACAAACTGCAATTCAACGGTAGATGTTCCGTGAAAACATTGTATCTGATCCTTTGTATCGACAAAAACAAACAATCATATCGACGCGAAGACATAATTGCTTAAATTCAGATGGTTAGGCCATGTGAGAGATGTGACCGTTTCTTTCACAGAAGAAATGGATACATTCAACATATATTAAACGCATAACTGTTAACCATCAGAATAAAAAAGAATACAATTATACTTAGATAGCTGTTCATTTTGTTAGGCTGAAAATCATTATAGATGCAACGAAAAAAAAAAAAAAAGAAAGTCTGTACTGGATCCATGTGAATTTACTCCGACGGAAAACCGATAGAGATAGACTGAAGAAGAAGATAAATAATATAGAATAATATAATATGAATTCATGAAGTTTGATTTATCTTCATTCATTTAGAAATTCGACTGGTTTGCGGCATGTCTATAACTAAGTGGATGTCCGATTTATTCAATTCGTCCGACAATATTAATCTTCATCATATAAGTCCACATGTTTATGTTGAATTAAATAAAATTATGAACGACATGCTGAATCAATTGTTTTTCGATAAGGATTTACCATATGAACATTTGATGTTTCTTTTGAACCATCGAAATACAATCGAAACAAAATTTATTGAACTTTTAAATCAACGTATTGAACAATTAAACATCGATCATAATATTCGGAATCGTTTAATAACAAATATAGATAAATTGAGTTCGTATTTGTTAGATATTAATGCTGATACGAATATAAATCAAATTTTTCATTTTAACTATGATTCTGATGAAGAATCCTATGTGGACTATCCATCTGACGATATGAATTCCGAAGAATATGACAGCTATGACGATATAGAAAATCAAATAATTGATCAAATTGAACTTGAAAGTGGTGTTACTGTTTGGTTTTTTAATGCTCGACGAAATCAACATGAGCATACATCTGATGATGATAGTAATTAAACTAGTACATTTGTTAAGGTTCTTGAAGTTATGAAATTCAACCATTTTTCATTTTGTTTTGTAGCATGTATTACTATTTTGAATATCAATAAAGTTGAACAATACCGTTTTTGACATCACTCTCAAGATAAGAATGCACACAGTCATTCATTTCTCACACTATATAGGAATAAAAAATATATGTGAAAAGAAACCGCAACATGATTCTCTTTTATTTATAAAAACTTGTTCTTACGACACAGAAAAAAAGAAAATGATTGACGAGAATAAAATATATTTAACTGTTGTCTACTACTGTACTAATTCTGAATTCTAGATGCATGCTTCAGACATTTATTTCTATTCATTTTAATAGGAATCAATAAGAACCTTTGAATGTTTACTGATGTCATCATTGGTGCCATGTATTATCTACTTGTCAACTGAGTATTGTATTCAGACATGCGTTTTCAATCTGTAGTACATACAAATTTTTTTTTCATTCCATACCGTTTGGAATAAGTAACATTGTTCTTTTCATCAGCTTCGCTATCACCTTAACGACATCATTACAACCATAATTATCAATACAGATGTCTGCTTCAATGTTTATTGTGTTCTTTTTCTTGTAAAACAAATTACAATATCTACCAACATCTTATGATTTGATCAAAAATTCAAGACAAAAATGTTGCATGTATTTTGAGAAATTCAAAAAGAATTGTAATATGCTCACCAAAGAAATTTTTGAAAGATAACATAGAAGATTTCTCTACATTTCAAGAAAAAAAATATTGTAGAGTTTTTTTTTGTAAAACGTTGGTCAGAATTCGGAATCATTTCCAAATAATTTTAAAAAGTAATTTGTGATTTTTCAGAAAAGTTTGGGCATTCTAATTTGAAAAAAAAATAATTGACGGTTGACTACTGAACTAGGATAGAACGAATTCGTCTCCGTCTAGACAGTGATCTTTCCTGTTATCCTCTGTATGACCTCTGTCCTCATCCAGGGTATGACCGTTATTCTGATGTCGTCTGTCTTTATTTAATCGCGCTATCATTTCTTCGTTTATTCTGAATATCTTTCTTTCCTTCAAAATATTTTCTTTCCTGGATTAACATAATGCCAATAATATCGCTATATTTTTTTTCGGTTCTTCCGTTTTCATGACCGATACCTCGTGTTTCCAATATGAATAGGGTCATCTCTCTCCTAGATAATCAATATACGATAACGATTTTTCAAAGAAAAAAAAATAGAATAAATTAATTATCCTGTAGTTCTCGAAGCAGCAGTCCTAGTCGATTCAAATACACATTTCAATATTTGTTATCTAACGATATACTAAGAAATTTACAAACGATTAAAGATACAATATGAGTGGTAAACAACAAACACAGTTATTAAAGAATGTCTGTAAACGTGCTGAATTAATGCGTGCTCCCTATCGTCAGTCATCATGGACCAACGAAACCCAACAAACTAAAAAGAAGTCGTCATTACCAGGTAATCAACGAGTTAATTTTCAATCAAAATCGATTGATTCACATGTTCGTAAAACATCGTCATTAGGTGAAAAAGTATGTAGGATACAAAAATGAATATATTTTATATTTGAAACTTTTCTAAATACATGATTATTTTTTGACATTCCGAAAAAACAAAATAGGAACAGACAGATGTGAAACAACATAAACAAGATTCTAGTGAACAAGCAAATTCCAATCATAATACAAACTAGGCAAAAACAAAAAAAAAAAAAGAGAATTCACAACTGGTATTGACTCTTTATGTAACTTGAAAATTGTAATGTAAAATAAACGTTGAAATATAGATGTATGTATTTTTGTAAAATAAAACTTTGAAACGGTAGATAGGTATGCGGCAATATTACGTGTAAGTGAAGTTGAGTTAAGAGATAATTAGATTGAATAGATGCCACAAAATTACAGCTAACATTATCAAAATTCCTTACTTTTATCGTGTACGTTGTCTCGGACTACGTGTTCGTTGCTTCATTTTAAAACACTTTCAGAACTTGAAAATAGTATAAAGACAACTTCTCACATCTACCTATTCTCGTTTTCTTGACTTTGTCTTAGAAACTGATACCAATAGCTCACACTTCTTCAGATTAATGTATCAATCTCATTGACTGTAATGAACAGCAATGTATTCGCGAAAATGAATGTTTACTGATAAAGAACTAGAATTATTTAACGGTGCTTTTTTTGTGTATTTTAGATATATATCTATTTACAAAATATATTCCTAGTTCTATTAAACAAAAAAATTTCATGTCGTCTACACCATTACAACAACAAGAAGTAAGACAAAAAAAAAACAAAAACAAATTAAATGAATTAAAAAAGATGACTTTGAACATTCGGTCTCTTATAGAATAGTAGCAAAAACAACAATTATATTTATTGGCAATTAATTCAACTACTCGATGTCAATGAAAATGGAAGAGTAATACAGACAATAAGATATTTCATCTAATGATAATAAAATTTTCGTAAAATTTAGCTTGTTTTGCCGTTTTCTCGTCGATTGATTCTGATTGATCGTCCAATTGAAAATATAAATGAGAAGTAAATTGTTTAATAAAACATCGTTTTTGTTTTTGTTTGTACTAATATAATCCTAAAAATTTCTTTTATTGTACACAGTGACAACGACGAACCCAATCAAACATCGACTGATTGTGAAAGTAGTGAATCTGAATTCTCATCAACAATATCAGAAGATTATTTATTGACTGATGACGATAATAATGAAGATAATGGTTCACTTCCAACCGAATCGTTACCACCATCACCATTTGCTTATGATCCTTACGACTCATATGACTGGGAATGTTAAATAATTATTGAAATATTGTTCTTTTCTTCACTTTGTTTCTTTCTTTTTGTATATTGTTATATTTTCCACTTATGAACAAAAAGAAAAAAAGATCAGGTACCTATAACATTCGATCAACAAAAGACTTCTGGGTGACCAAGATTTTTCAGTCATGTCACATCACGGTCACGATCCCACTCACGATAATTTTTCAAAAACTAGTCGTAGTCCCTGTCGCGAGAGAGCAAGACCGTGACAATTTTGCCAAAGTCTACTTCAAAAACCATCAGAGAATATAGTATAAATCATAACAAACATAAATATTTATGGTGAACATCATAAAACCCTAATCCTGTAAAACCTACTGGGTTTTTGAATGCAAAAACCAATGTTTTTTACTTAATGATATAGACTTAAAAACCATCAGAGAAAATAGTATCAATCATAACAAACATAAATACATATGTTACAAGTTACACAACCTTACTCTAGAAAAACCTACTGGTTTTTAAATGCAAAAACCCAACGTGTTTTACTTAATGATATAGACTTAAAAACCATCAGAGAAAATAGTATAAATCATGACAAACATAAATATATATGTTACAAGTTACAAAACCTTAATCTCGGAAAACCAACTGGTTTTTGAATGCAAAACCCAATGTTTTTTACTTAATGATATAGACTTAAAAACCATCAGAGAAAATAGTATCAATCATAACAAACATAAATACATATGTTACAAGTTACAAAACCTTACTCTAGAAAAACCTACTGGTTTTTAAATGCAAAAAACCCAACGTGTTTTACTTAATGATATAGACTTAAAAACCATCAGAGAATATAATATAAATCATAACAAACATAAATATATATATTACAAGTTACAAAACCTTAATCTCGAAAAACCTACTGGTTTTTAAATGCAAAAACCCAACGTTTTTTACTTAGTGATATAGACTTAAAAACCATCAGAGAATATAGTATAAATCATAACAAACATAAATATATATGTTACAAGTTTCAAAACCTTAATCTCGAAAAACCTACTGGTTTTTAAATGCAAAAACCCAACATATTTTACTTAATGATATAGCCTTAAAAACAATCAGAGAATATAGTATACATTATAACGAACTTAAACACATTTGTTTGAGGTCAAAAGACCATAAGGTTTTATAAAAATACGCAATTACCTCAGATAGCACATACAGTCTTGCAGACTATCAAACAAATTCGATAAGGTTCTAATGATCGATAATATTAAACTAATAGGTGAAAAAACGAGAATGCCATACGAAAATACGCAATATCTTGAAACAGAAGATACAATCTTGAAAACTATCAAGTAAACTGAATGAAATTCTGAAACGTCAAACCAATAGGATATTTTTTGTTTTTCGACTCAAAGTTGTTTTTTCCACCGTTATTGCTGCAAGTTGAAAGATAAAAATGTGTTAGAAAAGAAACATCGAGTGTAAAGCACTTGAACTCTAAATGTAAAGAATTTATAATGAGACTTTCACACAATCCTATCATGAATATAGGATCAATTATAATTAACAGAAAAAAAATTATCGATTTCCACTACTGATATTCATTATAGTATTAGATGAAACATTTTGTGAATATACTTGCAAACAAAAAAGACGATACTGAAATACAGCACAAATCAATTTAGCTATACAAAATTTTCAAACATTATGTTTCGAAAAATCCTTAAAAATTTCAAATAGAATGCAGATGTTCTAATGAAGTATAATAATTGGTTGAAGTTATGAAATGTAAAAAAATTAAGAAAGTTTTCCGAACCACCGTAAATAAATGTGAAAAATAAATTGAGTATATTTCCAAATATCATTTGTTAACTGGTTTTTTTTGATAATTGTATTTAACAGCTTTGCATTTTGTACTATATATTTTTTTTTTGAATATTGAGATTAGTGTTTTTAACTGTTTCTATGTGAGTTGAAACAAAGTTGTAGAAAAGGAAAACTGTTGTATTATTTTTAGAAAATGAAAGTAACTTGTTGATTGTATTTTTCAGACACAAAGTTTTAATTTTTGTTTTAAATTAATCTTCCATTGATTTGGAAAAAAAAATATAAATACTTGTTGGAAAAATTTTTAGAATAGTTTTGAAAAATAAATATATAAAAATAGTTTGAATATTATTGTAGCTGTGAAAAAGAAAATTTTTAAAATTTTTTGGTGAAACGTTTTCGAAAAACAAATACATGACAAATTTTTAATAAGAATTTAAGGTAACGATTCTGAAATATTCATGAGAAAATAGGTTGATCGTTATTATTGTCCGTTGAATGACCTTTGGCTTCGTCTAGACTATGTCTATTTATTTATTTTTTTTGGTGTCCGCTGTTCGACCTCTGTCGTCATCCAGGGTATTACTTTCCCTCGATTTTTCGTTGTGATACGCCGTGGTCTGTCGTAAGATGTCGTTCTCTGTCGTAATATGCCGTGGTCTGTCATTTTCTGCGTGTTCTCTCTTTATGCCGTGGTCTGTC